AATTTGGATAAAGATTCTGAGGCATTTCAGGGGTTGATATGATTCCTAGGGCTACAAGTAAAAGTTATTTTCATTATTGCTTTAACTGGTTACGTTTCTGGAGCTAAGTCATCATATTTAAGTTGCTTGTTTCATCTAATTATGACCCAGAAACGTTTTAATTTATCAAGACTAAAAACAGCAAACATTGACATTTGAGATACTGAAATGACAGTATTTGCATTTTTGATTAATAGATAAACAACTAACCAAGTTGGTATCATTTATTTTTCTGTTGATCCACAAACTAATGGAGACATGAATTCCAACTTGTGGCATTTAAATTATTGGTCAGTTGACCGAAGAGTAATGTGCAATGATTTTTGTGAGTGACTAGCAGCCACTGATATAGAATCTTCAATAATGTGTTATGCCATGAATGTGCATTCAAGCTGTGGAAGAATCCAGGATTGAGCAACAAGTGTTCTGGCTGTTGACAAACCAGCTAGCCATGCTCTGGGAAGCAAACGTTCAGAAAAGTCATTAAGGAGGTGAAGTCCTGGGTCCACTGGGAAGTTCACTTTTGTCAGAGTAGAGAAAGCTTGTACTGCCTCATCCCAAAAGCATTGTACCTTTTGGACAGTCCCATGATTCCCTCTGGTTTCCTTATTTTAGAGGAGATGTCCTGGTTGTCACTTTCTCCCTCTCTCCAGGTTTACCTCAGCCAACCAGCAGCTGTTTTGGTTCACCTGTGTCTCATTTACCAGTTAATTTAACTCACCCCCTCCTTCTCCTCAGCACCAGGAAGTCACTTGAGTCTTGCAGTAGTTTCCAGTTCTTATCTGAAGTTTGTTACCCGTTACTTGACCTGTGTCTGTCAGTCGCTGGTTTTCTGCTTGTCTCTACCCCTCTGGTCTGTAAGTCTACTGCTTATCTGTACCACTGCCTGATTTCACCCTGTTATAGTTTTGCCTAAGCTCAGGTCACCTTATGTTTGCTGGCAAGATGAAGAGGAGCTGTTGTGGATGGTGCTTGTGCATTCATTTTTGTTTGTTCTCTCTCTTGTCACTGGCAGTCTTTTTATATCCTGGATTTCAAGCCGCATTTTGTTGTTACCTCTTCCTGTGAGCCCTCCAGGAGTCCTCATCAGCCTGCACCTGTTATTTAAGTCTTACCAATGTTATTAGTAGTACAACTGCCTCATTGTTCAAGGGTCAAGGATTTTATTGTCAATTCACCATATGTCCAGGACATACAGAAAATCAAAATACCGTTTCTTTCTCACCTAGTATTGGGTGCCATAACATTTAGGAACTGAAATAGAGTAAAGTAGAATAAAAAATAGAATAGAATAGAGTAAGAATTGGATTGACATAACTAGGATGTCTGAGCACTCTGGGCACTGCCATATTCTGTAACTGTGGCCATTTTCTGGAACTGTGCCACATGTGAAGGAGAAACTTGCTCCCCATCTGCCCCGCCCTACCTACCTCTCCTACTTACCTGCAGTGGTCGTACCTCCTGGTCCCTCACTTCCTCCACCAATGAATGTATGGTGTTCTCTGTCTGCGTCCTCCCCAGGGGCTTGTACCACAGTCAGGAGACAACAATGACTAAAACACAATCTGTTGTTGCTGACCTCCCTCAGTGCAGGTGTTGTACCCAGAATTTCTCTGACTTCCACCAGCGGCTCCACCGCTGTCAGCTCCCGGAGCAGCTCTGCCCTTTTATAATCCCTTAAATAGGAAATTACCTTTTCATATGCTTGTTGAGTTTTGCATTTGAGTCCTCCTTGTCCTGGTTATTTGACAGTCTTCCTGTTGAGGCCAGTTATAGCTTTCCCACTCCCAGATCCATTTGATAGAGACCTTGGAGCACGATATGAATTTGTATACAAGAGCCTGTTTTTGTTCATATGACTCACCCCACTCGACTTTAAGGGTTTTTAAGGTGGATCCAAGTCTAAAATAAGTGAACAGTGTGTGTTTATCAATAACACACCTTGCCATACAGTCTTCAAAGGTGATTAAGGCTTCCTTCCCATTGAGGTTACCCAAATTGGGGAAATTTCAGAAGGTCCCACAGCCCATTCCTTTCTCCACCCAGTCATCCAGGATAAAGCGTTTGCTGCCTGAAATTAGAATGAATTTTCCCCAAATTGGGGAGGATCTGTGTAATTTGTTATTGTATCCTACATGTCTTCCAACTGCCTTGTAGATTTCTAGTGAGTACAACATTATAGGCCTGTGTCTTAGAGAGCGGTTGCTATGAGAAATACCAGAAAATCTTTCAATCTCATCGGTGTCTCCGGATCTTCCTCTGTTTGTACCCATGCTAGGCTCTATCCTTACTGAAACCACTGACTGCAGGGTAAACACCCAGTGGTACAGTTTGAAGTTGGGGCAGGGCCACATAGCCTTTGCTTCATTGTAAGACTGACCACTTATTTCTCTTTTTTCCTTTTCCATATGACCTAGTGAGGGGGCAGTGGTATCATAGAAGCTGTAACAATTATGAGGCAAAATATTCATCTTTATCACTGTAATTTCGGCAGATACTAAGGAAGGAAACACTTTCCACATTCTTCATCACGTTAGAATCATTCATTTTAGCTGTTTCCACTACCCAGGTCCTGATCTGGATCCCTAAGGTCACCTGACCTAGGACTTGGATGTTGGAGGGTTGTCTAACTTACTGGGGGGGGGCTGCATTTTTTAGCATCAATGCAAACGTGGAGTAATTTATTTTAAAGCCTAACAGCCTTCCAAAATCTTAGATCTGTATTGCATTAGGAAAGGAGTACTCCACACTGGATAAAGAAAAAACTAGGTGTCATCCACATACATTGAATACATTACAAATTTGATAGGAGTTATCACCTGGCTCTTATGATTAGCTGGGCAAATGGTTCAGTTGACAGATTAAATAGTAACGGTGAGAGCAGCCTCTGTTGACGTGAGCCCCTGAATATTCTCAAAGCCTCCGAAACAGCATCTTTGCTACTTATTCAGGTCAGTGAACTTACACCATTTGTATAAATTTAGGGCCAAAGTTAAATTCTGAAAATGTTTGAGCACAGAAGACTGAAGATCATGGTTCTTACTGGATTAGATACAGTGGGCTCTGTCTATCTCAAGTAGCCTTCCAGGCAGTAGCTTTAAATCCGGAATCCATGTTGGGAGCATTTACTGTAAATAGCCCACCTGGTCATCTGTCGTGGCAACCATCAGGAGGTTTATCAGTTTTGTATTGTTTCTCCTGGAACTGTCCTCAAACTCATTTATGTTCTGTAGCTTTTCTGTTTGAGAGATTTGGTGGTTTGTATCCTTCTTAGCTTGAGGGACATTGCCTGCAGGGCTTCTAATTTAGCAGACTTCTCCATGGTTTTGGTATGCGCATTAATTTCAGTTTTGAGGAATCATTTTGCTGCACTTCTTGCCAGAAGTTTTACCAATGTTGAAAATATTAATTTTGGCTGTAGGATTTTTGCCACTTTTATTTTTGGTCTTAGCCAGAGCTAGTCCAGAATTCAGGACCACCAACATGGCATGCATGTGCCTTTTTTTCTGAATCTGAAGAAGACTACCAAACATTTTACAGAAGCTGTAGCTTTTCATGTTTAAAATAAGTGCTAGCGGAGCTATTGTAGTGCTTTCTAATTGAAACTTGACAGTGAGTAACTAAAGGTAGAGAAACACCCAGCGACACTTAAAAAAATAGACAGAAAAATACAGTATGTGCAAGATTAATGAATAGATGTATGCAGAGGGAAGCTGGGAGAGACAGATGGCAGACAATGGAAGCACTGTGTGTACAGTATGTATGCACGTGTGTGTGTGTGTGTGCTGGTGGGGGTTGATTTGGTGAGTAATAATTTCCGTTTGAGTCCCAGAGAGACAAAGGTCCTCCAGTGCAGCAGCTCGTTTTCTGATCAGTGTACACATGCATGCCCACACATACACACACAAACACACCAGCTCACATCATTCCCCCTCTGATGCAATGCCAAATCTGCACATAGGTGATGTCAAAAGATCCCATATTTTAGGTTTAAATGCCAGATTGAGCAGAACGTTATCAGATAACAAGAACAACCTGTTAACTTTGTGTTCAGTTTTAGCCTGGATCAAAGCTAAAACAGCCGAGGTTCTTACTATAACACTTTGATTGAGCTCATTGCTGATGCTTCTTTTTATGCATAGAACAGAACAGGCAATGAACACATGGCACAAGTACAAAATACTAGCACTATAAAAGACAAATGGAGCAGAATGATGTGTGTATATTTTAGGGGGCTGCATGCAAAACTGTAGAAAAGAGGATAAATGACAATAGTAATACAAAGCTCTTCTTTTTATATATATCTGTGTACTGTTAAAGTTTGCTATACATATGTTCTGGCATTTGAAACCTATTGCAACCAACAAGTCAATGCAGCAGTACACAATGACCAACAATGTGGCTGTGAAAGTGTGAAGGCATCTTAAAATAAGTAGCATGCTTGGCTAACTTCCCTTCACCTCATTCTTATCAGCCACTAGTTTGGCACAGTTATTTCTCCCCTCAGTCGGTGCCATTTCACACCACAATGTGCAATGTTTCACCCACTTTTCTCTTTCTGTGCTTTTACTCCTTATTCCTCACAATTATGTGATCACACTAGCACTAGTAAGTTGTAACAAATACCCATACCCACTGATACTTAGCCACCACTCCTCTTCTCTTCTAGCTCTATCTTTCTCTGTCCCCCAGTCCTTTTCTGCTAATCTCTGCTGGCACTAATCACTAATTAAATTTCAGAAGGTCCCACAGCCCAAACACCTCCCATGTGAGAAAACAGCTACATACAGTATTTAATTACACAGTGTGTACTGCATGTCACCCTCTGTGTGTTTATTCAGCACACGTCTGCCAACATCTCGCTGTTTATGTAACGATGACAGTAAAAACATGTATGCACTGTTGCAGCTCAGAGAGCTGAACAACCTCAGAAGCTGTTTCTGTTTCTTTTACCTGTACAGGAGGTGACACAATGACAACGGAAATGCAGGAGATTGCCATGACTGAGGACAAGCCTTTACTCAGGGGTCAGAGTGACATAAGCAAGGTCAGAGATGATGTCACACACACATACAGAATCATGAGCACTCATGTACAAAGTGCAGGCATACACATTTTTGCATAGACTGCATATAGAACATGGAGAAACAAACAAATGGCAGAGTTTGTGTCCATGTGTCTCTGTCCCTGGAGACAGGAAAAACAAGGGCTGGTTTGTGTGTTAGTAAGTAGCAATTGCACCCTTGCAGTGTAGACAATGTGCACAAATGCAAGTGTGAGCACTTTTGTATCTGAGCAATGCCTATGTGACAGCATGTGTTTCAAACACACGTGTGCCATGACTGTGTGGCTACATGTGCGTGTTTATGCACAGCTGCAGCGCTGGCTCTGATCTCAGCGCTGACGTCAGAGCCCTGAGGAGGAGAGGGCTGCTCCTCTCTGCACTGATGTTGCTGTGCAGATGCAGCACTGCAGAGACTTTTGTTTCTCACTGCTGACACCTGGTGGGCAAAACAGGAAATACAACACTAATACAAAAACAACATGGCTACAGATATGAAGGGACAAAAGTATTTAATTAACATCCATCAGACTTCTACCATTAATACTGGTGCTCACACACTGTTCACATATTTCAGACTCAGATCGGCCTTAAAAACTCTTAAAGTCTAGTGGCCAACTCCTCAGCCACCCTCTGGTCACATGGGTTCGGTCAGTTCAAAAACATATGGTATCTTTTATGTACAGCAAGCATTTGTCATATGGTTTCTATAACTGGGGTCTGGGAGTGGGAAAGGACCATGTCCGGTCTCAATAGGAAGGCAGACTGGGGCAAGGCTTAGTCAAGCTGTGTGTTAGCCTCACATAACCCAAAACATGAATTTATTCATTTCAAGTTCTGTACTGCGGCATATGTGTCACCCCAGAAGAGATTCTTGATGGAAGTGAGCCCCAAACTGTACATCTTGTCCTTTAAGCACCTTGGTGCACATGATCTGGGGTTGTCCAAAGGTACAATGCTTCTGGCAAGAGACAGTCTGAGCTGTCTCTACCATAAGGTGAACTTCGTGGTGGACCCAGCACTTCACCTCCTTAATGACTCCTCTGAAACTTACCAAATCATCTCTATAGATATGGGTCGCAGGAGGAAAAAAACTCATTGCTCAGTCTTAGATTCTTCCACACAATTTGATGGCACAGTCATGGCATAACACACTATTACAGATTCTATTTCAGGAACACTCGACCACCAGGATAAACCCACCTTCTCCTGCAACAGTGGGTTGTGGATGGACGCTATAGCTTTAGTGGAAGACTTATTGGCGTCAGCTCCTGGATCCTTTTTGATTGAGCTCTTTCTTTTTTCTTTTGTTTTTCTGGCATGGAGTCCACAGAGGGTGGGGAGGGGGAAAAGGGGTTTATATTTGTGTTCTAAAAACTAATAAACTTTGAATTACACAATACTGCTGAATGGGTAAGAATTCCATATTATGATTTCCTGAAATTAAACTGACAATTTCTACGTGTAATAACCAGTTGGGAATTACTGGGTGATATTGACAAACTCATATAATATGAGTTTTGGAACTAATTCATCCAAATCTAAATAAACTGTTACAAACTAATATGGAGATTAGCTTTTATTTTTCAGGAATCACTTTCAAAATAATTTGCTACATGAATATTGTGCTGAAAACGCTCAACCTCAAAAAGTTATATTGTTTGTCTAATGCAGTTTTAAAGGTTTTAAAGGTGACGAATAGAATTTAAAGGATAAGGCTGGTGTAATTCTATATTTTTCTTATTGCCAACAAATACCATGAAAAGATAAAAATCAGCTATAAGTTTTCCTACTGAAGATGGAAATCTTTTAAAACAGCTTGCAGATATACAGTATAGTTTCACCCACAACAAAGGCCCAGGCTGAGTTTTTATTTTTGTGTAACCAAATATATACTCCTTCCTTTCCCTCAGTTTCTTACTGGTTCATTTTGTCTCAATGCCTTGTTGCCCCTGTTGTCTCTGATTTGTTCCTGACTTCGTTTGATTTGTCTCATTGTTTTCTATGAGTTTTTCCGATCAGCAGTACTTTGGTTTATTTCACTGGTTTGGTTTTCATTTGTGTACCTAGCTCCCTGGCCTAGTTTTGTGCTTTTTGTTTTACTTCATCAGGTTGAGCCTTATATTTTGTTCCTGCTTCTTGTTCTGTGTTACATTAAAATCCCATCGACCTCTCCCTTGGCTTGTGTCTGCATATTTGGGTCCTTCCCTTGCTGGAAATGTAACAGAAACATGTCACCCAGTGCAACCGCCTGTCTCTGTGATGTGTTTATAATAGTTTTCAGACAGCTGTGGAGCTCTGTGGCACACAGATGGTCTTGGATACATAGACAGTAGTTGGTATATTATCATTGTTACTTGTTTTTTCTTAGTTTACCATTAAGAAAATGTAGTATAACAGCAGTTTTATCCTATAAGGTAGCTTATTATCATAGCTAATAAAAATAAACAATGAGAGCTGTTTAGCAAAGAATCTGGGGTGTGACAGTGACAAATACTCATGTCTACCATAGGGTCATTACTCCCTCAGCACGGGCTACAACACTACCCAATGGGTGTGTGAAGGGAAAATCAGAGTAGGAAATGTAATGATGAATGGGAGGTTCTGGGTAATATCCAGCCCTCCATTGTTCACTGGGACCTCCTGCCTCCAATCACATGCATTAGCATCCATCCCGAACCACTGATTTTAATGTGATTTCTATTGCTTGAACTAGTGACCTGTATAATCCAGGCAGGGACCATCTCTCTAATTGCCAAACCTCCAGAACCCTCCCTTTATCCTGCGTGATGACGGCCATCTGCACCCGTCCACCTCCACTTTAACATCACTGCCTGCTAATTTTCTAAGCGCTTGTGATGCTAGTAATTCATTAGCTGCGTAAATGGATCCCAGGTTGCAAATGAACAACCCCATTTAAAACCTCCCACTGACAGACTTCCTGCGCATAATCCCCAGCATCCAATAACCACCTGCTCCTCTGAAGAGCTTCTCTGTTGCTTTATCAGGAGTAAAATGCCACCCATCGTGCTTGTGTGGGTGTTAATTAGGAGGCAAACCCTCACTTAACATGAAAGGGCTATGAAAGAACAAAAGCACGAGAATTTACTTTGACATGTGGTTTTTGAGCAACACAAGATAAAAGAAAGACAAAAAAGAAAAGTATTTTAAGCAGTATGAAATAACAGTGACTCAGATCTCAAAAGTTGGATCCACTTATTAAAAATTCACCTTTATATATTTGATCCAGTAGGGGTTTGAATGTGATGTTTATGGAAATTAATATATTTCCTTCTGAAGCCACACACACACTTGTCTCCACTGGCTAATGATCACAACCTACCAGGAGATTGTCATCTATTGTCATAAGACTAAAAAGAGAAGTGGCGTGTCTGCTCGCATTTAAAAAAAAAGTGCAAAAATGACATGAACAACTCATCCTAATTAGACTTTGTTCCCTTGTTTCTCCCAGGATGCTGCCGAACTGGCTGCAAGGATACTCCTGGACCAAGGACAGGTGAGGCTGTTCAGATGTGTGTTCAATTTGTTTGTCTGTTTATCAGATTTTTTTTTTTTTGACTAAAGATACTGATTGCAAGTGTATAAGCAGGGATGGGAAGGATACTATGACATAAATGAGGAGAACCTTTTCAACTTTTATACATTTTTACAGAATTGTTGCATTTTTATCTGGAAAGCCTCAGCAGATCTGTAGCGTTGTGCAGAGATACAACACTGCCACATATTAAAACAAGATCTTTACAGGAAGGATGTACAGTAGTATATGATGGAGCAGCATGAAGGAACTGATGGTATAGATGCTGTTTTGGAAAAAAAATTCTGTGTAAAAGATTGCACTTGATGTGGTATAAAGAATCAACAACATCCAGTCTTCATTATTTGATTAAGAGTCTCTCTTGCTCTGCCCAGGAGCACAATATTGAGACCCCAAACGGTGTTCTGCACGTGATCATCCATGGCTCACGAACCACCCGTAGGCCTGCTATCCTCACCTTACATGATGTGGGAATGGAGAGTGAGTATCCCTTTTTGATTTTCAACCCTTTCCCAGTGCCGAGTCGCAGACTTTTTCAGTTGTTCGTGACTTTTTGTTCTCTGTGTCTCTGGCAGGTAAGAGCTGCTTCTCCACTCTGTTTAGGTTCGAGGAAATGGAGGAGATTGTCAAGCATTTCACCGTCATTCATATTGATGCTCCTGGACAAGAGGAGGGGGCTGCTCCCTACCCTGCAACGTATGACCTTTACTTAACTGACATGCTGGTACTCTCTCAGTGTCCTGCAGTAACCTTGCTTTTTTTTATTTAACTGAACCTCTCAAAAATATAAGCAATTTTCTGTGCTTGCCTTAAACCTAATCTTTTCCAAAAATTCCTATCTCTCACATCTCCCTCCTCTTCGGTTTCTAATATGCTCTTGTCAGAGGTTTAAAGAAAATCCGCCCTTTTCTCTCTCTTTCCACACTTCTTATTTCTTCCCCCTCACACATCTTCATCACTTCACTTCCTTGTGATATTGTTTAAGGGGCTCAGCAGGATTTTTTTGCATGTATTATCACGGCATCTTGACTGTGAACTATAACTCCTGCTGGTGATTCTAGAAGCTCATTTTCAGTTTGATCTCATTTTAGATCCCTGTCTACAAAAGTGTCAGCCACGGGGCTCCAGAAACGCTCCCCTCCCACAAGAAAATTGGATGTTGCATATCAGTGTTTTTCACATGCTGATGCCTCATATGACTGAGATCATTTGTGTTTGTTGTAGTTACCAGTATCCATCCATGGAGACCATTGCAGAGATGATCCCTGCCGTCCTGCAGTATTTCAAGTGAGTTAACTGTATTTACTTTGATGTAAACACAAGCAGAATTTCACTGGGCTCATACATACATACACACACACAGAGGCTGATGTTCACATGTTGCTGTGTTGTTATTTTCAAGACAGGTGGAGTCTCAGTTTTATTATTGTAGGTGTAGGTTGGACTGCTCCTGTGCACAACCACCACTGTTTTTAAAATGACATTAGCCAGCACAATTGAAAGCTGATATTATATAGTGTAGTATACTGCGTAGTGCTTGTGTAGTTGTACTCAGGACACAATCACAGGATTTCTGAAACATTAAATGTTTCACTCTGATTTCTGACATCATGTTTAATGTAGGCTTATATATTTAAAATGTTACCGCAAAAACAACTTAAATAAAAGTGAAAAGATCTGCTCAAACCACCCAGTGTCATAAGGAGAGAGTGTGCTGGTGGTATTTTTCTTTTTTCTCCAATGCACCATTCAAACATTATAGTACTGTGCAGAGGCAGGAACAAAATCCTGCACCACATTTAAATTAATTGTCTTTATCCAAAATCAAAAGGCATTTTAATCATATGTGTGATATTAACATTGTCTGTCCAGGCATTTTATTCATATATGTGTGATATTAACATTGTCTGTCCTTCCTGTCAGCTTCCGAAGTATAATCGGAGTGGGTGTGGGAGCAGGAGCGTACATCCTTTCCAAGTTCACAGTGAGTGTCGTCTTTTCTTACAGCTCTATCTTGACGTTTCACTGTCCTTGTTAGCATGTTTAGTCTGTTTTGTGGAGAGTAGCTGTTAATACTATGTCTTGTTTCATTCATTCAGCAGCAGTGAAACATGGTAGTAAGCAGTGATAAAAGTACTACTTAAATCTGTGACGTTTTAAAGCAGCGGTTAAGTAAATCATGATCTCTTCACCGGTGTTGCAACAAAGACAGCAAATTGGAATGAATATAACATACAGCGGAATACTATTACATTCCCCGTAATAATAATGCTTAGGGTTGAAATCCAAACGCTACTTGCTGTTCCTTCAAGTATTGTGCTCTTAATTTTGAAATAATATGAATCTGAAAAATTTTTGACACTGACATATCATCTCACTATTTATTGCTTTGTTTTGTTCCTTTTTTTCTTCAGCTTGTGCATCCAAATTTAGTGGAGGGACTGGTTCTGATCAACATCGACGGTAACGCCCGTGGATGGTTAGACTGGGCCGCTCATAAGGTGTTTTTCTTTCTTCCTTCTTCCCTCCCTCCCTTCCTTCCTAGCCAGGACTGCATGTGGTATTTTAATCTAGTTAGTCCTAATGGGAGTTTGTCTTGACTACATGCACCATCTGTGTCAGAGTGATATTGATAATGCGAGTGTTTATTTTATTAAAGTATGAAGAAACCTACTGATTTCTTTCTCTCTTCCTCTGCCTCTCTAGCTGACCTCTGTGACAACCTCCCTCACAGAGCAGCTCCTGGCCCACCTGTTCAGTCAGGTACAAGGACAAATAGTCACTGTGAAAACATGTCTGGGCATAAAAACATGTCTAAATATAGCTGGGATTTTTTTTTTTGTCTGGTCATTTGCATGATTTTGTGTTGCTTCATTCATTTTGTAGGAGGAGCTGTCATCAAACACAGAGATAGTGCAGTCTCACAGAGAGCGTATCTCCCAGGCTTCTAATATTTACAACATGGAGCTTCTCTGGAAGACTTACCTAGGGTAATCACACACCCACCAATGTCGTTACATAAAAACAGATATACTACACATCAAACCACAACTAAGTCTTTTTTCCTCCTCTAGTCGCAGAGACTTGAACGTTGACCGCAACAACTCTTTCAAGTAAATACCCTCAAAAAATATATCTTTTACACTTTGTTATAGCTTGAATAAAACAAAACATATACTCTCCAAATGCCACCCTTGTGACCTCTAATGTTTAATTCTGTTGATCTCAGGTGCCCAGTAATGTTGGTGGTGGGTGATCAAGCTCCACATGAAGAAGCTGCAGTATGTTTGAGCTTGAGTCTAAAATGTCTCCTAATAGGGACTTGAATGACATGGCATCTTTCAAGTGTTCTTATATTGTATGATTCATTTCAACAAATCAAGGGCAAAAAGAACAGGTTTCTTTTGAGTCTCACTAGACTCGAGCCCTCAAAAATAAATTAGGTAGAGTGTCTTCATGAGTTTGCTGTTTCTGTTTGAGTCAGAGGTTTACTGGTTTTCCTTCGGTGACCACCAGGTGGAGTGCAACAGCAAACTGGACCCAACGACAACCTCGTTCCTAAAGGTAACTCAACCCGCACAGCTTTCTATTTACTGTCTGTTTAGTGTTGACACTTTCAACAAAACTGTGTCTTTTAGTGTAAACAGACACTGACCTCTCTGTCCTGACACTTCACGTTGTCATTCACTGTGACTCAAGTCATCTATCTCTCCGCAGATGGCTGATGCTGGCGGTCTCCCTCAGCTGACTCAGGTAACAGCATGTCTTTCCAACACATAAAACATGGATGCTAATACAAAAATTATTAGGGTGGCAATTATTGATTCTTTTTATTGTTGACATACAGTATCTGCCAATTATTTTGTTGATAAAGTAACTGTTTTGTCAGCAAAATGCCAGGATGTGGTGAAAAATACAGCCCAGTATTGTGTTTGACAAAGAATAGCATCAAATCTCCACTGGTGTTTATATATGCTTTGTTTGTTTGTTTTTTACATGAAAAATTACAGAATTAATCTTCTGTGTGGATTCAATTCATTCATTCATTAAGTAATGAGCTGTTTCATCTCTACTTGTTTTGGTAACACATACCTGGTTAATGAACCAGCACAAGGTGGATCTGAAACAAAGCAAAACACCCCGTCACCCAATGCAGCAAATCTTTTTCATGTATAATATGATGCTTTGAAGATTAAGAAATATGAAACTGGAACTGATACAGCAACGATCACTCCATTAACTCAAGCAGCCTAACCCGCTCTGTTAAAGCAGGTTATGCCGCTTCTGGTTAAAAAGTGCACATTGACTGTGACTGAATAAACAAATTCTGGGTGTTGTAGTCTTGTAGATTAAAACCTTTCCCCTTGGCTCCCACATGGGGTCACCAAATGACATTATGATTTAATCCAGGTAAGAATTAATGATTGTACTGATAGAATGTATAAAACATCTCTTGTATTTGTCTTTGCAGCCTGCTAAACTGACTGAGGCTTTCAAGTATTTTGTCCAGGGCATGGGTTACAGTAAGTTAACTGCCATTAATAAAAAGATATTTGTCCACAGATTACATGTACTGAACGTGCTAATATCGTGGGATTGGGATTTTATTGCATAAATACTGTCATTTTGTACTAACCATGTATTTTTGTCACTTGTGTGCAATACTGTACAAAATATACAACTTGTGTGTCATTAACTTAAAGCTACAGTGTATAACTTAAGGTGGCACTAACATGAAACTCCAAACCAGTCAACTCTACTACCATCTGCTACGCTCCGCCACGCTCTGCCCAGCTCTTCCAATATTTGTCATTATGAAATTAACAATAGATAAGAATGCAACAATACTTACTGATCAAATAGAAGTAATTGAATATGTCTGATTGGTATGTCCTGCTCAAAACCTTTAAGAAGCCAATATCTTTGCACTGCTGCCAGTGCTGTTCAATGAGTCTGGGTCAAAGGAGGCTTCGACAACACCTCTACACATTAAGACAAGTTTCTGAGCAGATTTCTGCAACAAAAATATTTGATAAAAGTTACATAAGCCTTAAGGATGAAGATGGTGATATTTGAATGAACTAGCAGTTATTGTGCATGTATTCAAAGCCTCATAGAGCTCCCTGTTATACAAAAACTATATATAGTTAAATATATAGTGAGCTACACTGAGGTACCACAACATGCTAACTTGAACATGGGTGCTTGGTGCTGCTGCAAATACTCACTTGTGCACCAAATGTGTATTAACCCAGAGCTGAAAATAATACCTAAAACATGATTTACAGCTTTTTGGGTAAAAGCTACAAATCAGCGTCTGACAGCCGTGCACAGACAGTGAAGTGAAGTGAAGTGAAGTAGGAAAATTGTGAGATTGACTAAAGCATTTTTGCTTGTGGTAGGTTTGTCATCAATAAGAAAAATATAGAATAATACCAGCACTGTCCCACAAGTGTTGGTTACATAGCATTCCAAGATGTGAGTCTAATCTTACCGTCCATTTCTTTCTATCCATTTCTCTACAGTGGCTTCATCTTGCATGACCCGCCTGTCCCGTTCCCGTACCGCTTCTCTCTCCTCCACCTACTCCATCGATGGGTCCCGCTCTCGTTCCCGCACCCTGTCCCAGGGCTCGCAGGGTGGCCAGATGCCACCGAGCCCCTCCCAAACAATGGAGGTGTCTTGCTGAAGATGAAAGAAGAGGCGCGTGAGAGAGTGAGAGTAGTGAAAGGAAAGGAAGGGAAAGCGAGATGAATGGGTTACTTATTTGTCACTAAACAACTCCCATCATTCCCCACAAGAGCAGAATAGCAAGAGAGACAAGAAGAGGGAGGGAGAAAGGGAAACTGGAAGATGGAAACCTATCTTCAAGTTCAAGTTCCGGCCTTCTCCTCACACCCCCCTTCCAACAGAAAACACAGTGGGTTGGGCTGTTCTACAGTGATTATGAGTCATTGGCGAGAAGAGGTTAATAAAAACAAAAAAGTCAGGCGGGGAGGTGGGGAAACAATGGCAACCAGTCCTTGCTCCCTCCCTCTATTGGAGCCCTTTAATAATGATAAGGAGTGTGGTCTATAGAGACACACACCTTGCATTAACCAGTAGTAATGATCCTAAAAATGGTGGTATTGTCGTTGATGCTGGTGATTAATGTTGTCAATGATAATGTAATAGAAAAACAGTAACAATTGTTGTTGATGCTGGTGATTAATGTTGTCGATGATAATGTAATAGAAAAACAGTAACACTTTTCTCTTTATTACGCAATGAGTTCAAAATGAGAGATTTAAAAAAACATAGCAGAAGAGATACTTGTATAACAATGTGTCTGCTAGTTTTGTGTTATTTTTATTTGATTAATCAAATTTTATTTTCTTATTTGTAACCTGCCTCGGCACAGGGCTGAAGCCTACTGATGGATCGATCTGTCATGTGGTAACAGCCAATGAGAGCCATTATAGTGACTACTTCCTCCTTGATGTTGCCAGTATGTCTTCCAGTTGCCCTGTCTATAAGTGACTGTTTTGTTTTCCTTTTGGATTTAAGCAGATGGAGGGAAGCTTTTACTGTTTGTTTTTTCCTTCCCCATTTTTCTGGAGTGTTTGGAAGTTGCATGCCTGGTGTCAGGCCCATGTGACTACTGACTGGATAATATATTTTTTATATGCATCTAATAAGCTGTGTGGATTTGGGTGCGTGTGCGTGTTCTGTTTTGTTTGCTTGATGTGTTTAGCAAACACGATGGTCGGCAGGTATGCATAGGTGAGACTGAGGGTGTGCTCTTTACAGTAGCTAGTCAGCACCCTATTGTGAACTCTAGCCGCACACTAAATAGTGCTTCCAACATTTCTGGTAGTCTCGCACTGTGTGTCTCAATATCTGTGCTTGTGTACAACTTACCAGGGAGAATTACATCACTAGGTAGCATGCTAGTATGGAGATTGCATTTCAGTGTCTGGCCAGAAGGATCACTGTGTTTATCATCTGGGTTGTAATCTCTTAGCCTTGCCTATGCATGGATACCTCCTAACAAACCCAGCTAGCATACTTGAGTTTCTGTGTGATGTGAGGTAACATGAATGCACACTCCTCTCCGACAACAAGCAGATTTATTCAAGCTATGGGGTCGAGAATTGTGTTTGCATGTGATTGATACGATACGCATGTGTCCAATGAAGTAAACATGAGGTATATGGAAGTGTTCGTATTGTATAAGCGGACGAAGTAAACATGAGATATGGAAGTGTTCGTATTGTATAAGCGCATTATCAAAGCAAAGAGGGAAAAGATCAGGGTCCTATAGCAAAGCTTATTAATGACAATGAACCAGCGCCTTCACTGCCATCACACAGGAAAAAAAACTGGAGTCGTTGCCACCAGACCTGTGCCTTGCCTCAGACATGAGAGGCAACAGACTTAGGCCAGCCCTTTTTTTTGTTTTGATAATGAAAAACTATCACCTGATTCCTGCACCTTGAACCAAATAATCTGGAATTTAAGGCAGTAAGAAATTTTACAGAGCCTCAAAACACAAAGTATATTTTGTAATCAGAATTCTGCCATCAGAAATGCTGTGAGCTAAATGAGCACCTTTTAGCATCGGCTATAATGTGCAAATTCCTTCTAAATTGTAGAAGCTTACCACTGCCCTGTGATATGTAGCCATTGGACTGATTATATTTGCATTTGGACCCAGATATCCTTGGAGCACATGTGCATTTTGAAGCATCACTCCTGTGCATGCATTTATGTTCTGATGCAGCTTTGCATCTGATTATTGTTTCGTTAATAAGCAGTTGTGACATCAAATCTGGATGTTTTAGGCACTTTCATTGCTGTCAAGAGGGCTGAAGTGTCGAATGTAAATGTATGGCTCCCCCAGGCTGAAATCAAAACTCAATCAGGCATCTACCAAATAAGGGATAATGGGTGGAACCATGAAAGAATAATTGCCAAATGAGGAAAAAGGAACAATATGTCTTTGTGGAGAGTAGAGCAGGGCTGTGTGATTGTAAATGCTTGTCCATTTTGTCTCTTGTTTGTCTCAATTTTTACTTCAATCTTAATTTTCTTTTTCTTAAATGTTTTGGATTTTTTTTGCTCATGTCTGTGAAATGTTAGTTTACTGTCCCAATGTGCTCACAAGTTAGTTACCCATGTGATAGCTCTCATGTAACTTTTTTAGCATTAGCGCTAATAAGGGAGAACAATATAATTAACAATTTTAAAAAAGATTAAAGGTAAGGAGAATAGAATCAAATTTACTTGTGTGGCCAATTTCTCTGTGTAACACAGTGAACTTCATTAAAAAGCAGACTTACATATTAATAAAAGCTTGAGAGAAATATCCTGTCTTCTGTTTTGCATTTTCACATAATATTTATCAAGAAAGGGAATAAAACTTCATCATATAAGGGGAACACAACCCTGTTTCTACGGATGATAAACAGCTGTAGTGAAGCTTCTGGCCCCTGGTGGTCAGAGGCACAGTTACTTTGTTTTAACACCTCACAGCTTTGTATTTCAACAGAAGTCTGAACAATAAATTTTGTGAAGACGAGCCTCTTAAATCTGGTGGGTTCAGTGTGACTGATGTGCACTGCCACATTTCAAAAAAACAAAAAGAGAACTGCTGCTGTAAATCCTCAACATCTAGTTTCTTTTTTGTCCACCCTGAATTCATGGACTTCTTATCTCAAACAGACTCAAAGGTGAGCAGTGACATTTTTCTTTCTTATCATAGGTCTGTGGTTGTAATCAAGTAATGTACAGTATAATGCACTTGGCCCCCTTGAAGTTAAGCTGCTTTTTTTTTAGGTTTGTATTTTTTCCCAACAATAAGGATAATAATAATCACCTTTATTGGCCAAGTATGTTACACACAAGGAATTTGTTTCATAACTGCTACTGCAAATCCTCAACATCTAGTTTCTTTTTTTGTCCACCCTGAATTCATGGACTTCTTATCTCAAACAGACTCATAAAGGTGAGCAGTGAAATTTTTCTTTCTTATCGTAAATCTGTGGTTGTAATCAAGTAATGTACAGCATAATGCACTTACCCTTTTTTAGGTTTGTATTATTTCCCAACAATATGCAATTAGGGCATTTAAAGATTTATTTCTGAGAACAGGTGGGTTCACTTGAGCAGAATAAGAGCTTAATAGAGCAGTATTCCAGTCCCCTATAAGTAGAAGTAATAACATGATTATATTTAGTGCCTGTTCAGCCTTAATGCTGAAGTTTAGCTTTGTTCATGTGAAAAATGGCTGTAACAGTTTAACTGTTTCAGAAAAACCAGAAAAGTTTCATTACCCCTTAAAGTCTGTGAAAGTAAATAGTCTCATGTTCTAGTCATATGACATTTGTTTTACAGTATTACAAAGTTATATGGATGACCTCCATCTTTATTACACAAAATCAAAATGCCTTTAAATCAAATGTCTTTTTACAGTTATCTATAAGTATAAGCCCACAGTGAATAAAAATTGTTAGATGAGCCTAACTGTGTCAGTTAAATAATACAATATATTTAAATGAGATCAAGTAAATTGATATTGTAAAGATCAAAACCAAAATACAGTATATGAAGACATTACAACAAAATGTATCATTATACCTTTAAATTGTCACTGTGTATAACCACTGGAATCAAATAAATTGTGTGTTTAATATAAGGCTTATTTGATTAGCAATTCTTCATTTCAAGTGACAAATCAAAATAAAAATAGACCATGTTATATGTACTGTACAACAACTGAAACTTCACTTCTACTTCTTCTGAATTTAATGTCTTTGGTTCAGATAGGATCACATGGTTTTCTAGAAGAACAGGAATTCATTTCCCCAAATGTGCAGATATGAAGGACCTTCCAAAACAAAAAAAACCCTTAAAACCTACAGTAAGATGGAACTGAAATTTCGTGGCTGACAAAATTTACTTAAGGCATAAGTGTTTCCTCAATTCCTTCATTCTGTTCCCCACATGCTAAACACCTACTGTTTACTCAAGATCTCGGCATAAGTCCTCATTATCTTTGAGAAAAAGCCACCTAGAGAGAACAGTGTGTCCAAGGTGTAGATGTGAGTCAAGCCCAGAGATTTAAGGCACCTAAGTTCATTAAAACTGTCAAAGGCATGGTGACTGATAAGCTGGCACACCTTTAGTGGATCTCTGGAACGAATCAGATGCACTGATTCAACTGAAAAGTTTATGAGGGGCAGAAAGTACGCCAGTGGAAGCAGGAAGTAGACTAGACTCTCCTTCACTTTTACCTTTTCACCTAAGTCTCTGGCACTGTCCACCTTCTTTATGGCTGCATTAATGTTTGCTATGAAAAGCTGCAATACTTTGCGTCTGGCTGTGATGTGTTTGTCAAATCTGGTGGTGGAATCACTGTGGGGGGGCTTGATTTGTTGTGTGTAGTATCTGTAAGTGACCTCAATTTGTTCACAGTAGAGCTCAACAGACTTGAGTGCATTTTGCAAATCTTCCAGAGCTTGATTGATGCAGTTTCGATCCTGACGCCTGCCTTGCTGGGTTAAAGATGCAAAAGCACGGTTGTAATATGCAACTGCTGCCCAGCAGCTGTCCTCCTGAATGGCTTTAGTGTACAGCTTGATACTGTC